TCTTCCTCCACTTTATATGGGACACCGCCACAGCATGGCCTGACAAGCGGTGCGTCGGTACATGCCCAGGATCTGAACCCGGAGTGCGCGCGGAGTGCGGAGTGCGCGCACTTAACTGCTACGCCACCGGGCCGACCCCCTCATGATAAAACTTTAATGGATGAGGAGTTGCTTCTCATGGATGAGCAAAGAAAGTGGTTTCTTGAGATGGAATCTATTCCTGGTGAAGACGCTGTGAAGATTGTTGAAATGACAACAAAGGACAGAATATTATATAAACTTAGTTGATAAAGCAGTGACAGAGTTTGAGAGGATTGACTCCAATTTTGAAAGAAGTTCTGTGAGTAAAATGCTATCAAACAGTGTTGCATACTACAGAGAAATTGTTCATAAAACGAAGAGTCAATCAATGTGGCAAACTTCATTGTTGTCTGTTTTAAGAAATTGCCACAGCCACCCCAGCCGTCAGCAACCACCACCCTGATCAGTCAGCAGCCATCAACATTGAGGCAAGACCCTCCACTAGCAAAAAGACTATGACTCGCTGAAGACTCAGGTGATGGTTAGCATTTTTTCATAATAAAGTACTTTTAATTAAGCTATGTACATTGTTTTTTTAGACATAATGCTATTGCACATTAATACACTACGGTATAGTGTAAACACAACATTTATATGCCCTTGGAAACCAAAGAATTCTTGTGACTCGCTTTATTGCAATATTCGCTTTATTGCAGTGGTCTGGAACCGAACCTGCAATATCGCCACGGTATGCCTGTATATAACATGCCATGTGCAAATAGTGACAGTTGTACTTCTTCCTTTCTGACTTGGATGTCTTTTATTTCCTTTTCTTGCCTAATTTCTCTGGCTAAGACTTCCAATACTGTGTTGAATACAAGTGGTGAGAGTGGGCTTCCTTGTCTTGTTTCTGATCTTAGAGTGAAGGCTCAGCTTTTCCCCATTGAGCATGATGTTTGTGGTGAGCTTGTCATATATGATCTTTATTCTGTTGAGGTGTGTTCCCTCTATACCCACTTTGTTGAGTGTTTTTATCATAAATGGATGTTGAATTCTGTCAGATGCTTTTTCTGCATCTACTGAGATGATCATATGATTTTTATCCTTCATTTTGTTAACATGGTGTATCATATTGATTGATTTGCAGATGCTGAAAACCATCTTTGCATCCCTGGAATAAATCCCACTTGATCATGGTGTGATCCTTTTCTTTCTTTCTTTTTGTGTTTGAGGAAGATTAGCCCTGGGCTAACATCCGTGCCCATCTTCCTCCACTTTATATGGGATGCTGCCACAGCATGGCCTGAGCGTCGGTGCGTGCTCAGGATCCGAACCTTGGGTCGCCAGCAGAGCACACGCAATTAACCGCTACGCCACCGGGCTGGCCCCGATCCTTTTCATGTATTGTTGAATTCAGTTTGCTACTATTTTGTTGAGGATTTTTGCATCTATGTTCATCAGGGATATTGGCCTGCAATTTTCTTTTCTTGTGGTGTCCTTGTCTGGTTTTGATATCAGGGTAATGATAGCCTTGTAAAATGAGTTTGGAAATGTTCCTTCTTTTTTTTTGGAAGACGTTGAGAAAGATTGGTATTAATTCTTGAAACATTTGGCAGAATTCACCAGTGAAACCTCTGGTCCTGGACTTCTGTTTGTTGGAAGGTTTTTGATTACTAGTAAGTAGACTGAATCAATAATCAGTGTGTTCAGATTTTCTGTTTCTTCCTGATTCAGTCTTGGTAGCTTGTATGTTTCTAAGAATTTATCCATTTCTTTTAGGTTGTCCAATTTGTTGGCGTATAATTGTTTATAGTAGTCTCTTATGATCCTTTGTATTTCTGTGGTATCAATTGTAACATCTCTTTCATTTCTGATTTTGAGTTCTCTCACTTTTTTTCTTGGTGGGTCTAGCTAAAGGTCTGTCAATTTTGTTTATCTTTTCGAAGAACCAGGTCTTAGTTTCATTGATGTTTTTAGTCTGTATTTCATTTACTTCCCTCTGATCTTTATTTCCTTCCTTCTAGTAACTTTGGGCTTTGTTTGTTCTTCTTTTTCTAGTTTCTTGAGGTGTCAAGTTAGGTCGTTTGAGATTTTTCTTATTTTTTGAGGTAGCCATTTATTGTTATGAACTTCTCTCTTAGAACTGCCTTTGCTGCATCTCTTAAGTTTTGGTATTTTGTATTTCCATTTTCATTTGTCTCAAGGTATTTTTTGATTTCTCTTTTGAATTCTTCTTTGACCCATTGGTTGGTCAGTAGCATGTTGTATAATGTTGTGAATTTTCCAGTTCTTTTCTTGTAATTGATTTTTAGTTTCATACCATTGTGGTTAGAAAAGATGCTTGATATGATTTCAATCTTCATAAATTTATTAAAACTTGTTTTGTGACCTAACATAGAATCTATCTTGGAGAATGTTCCATGTGCACTTGAGAATGTGTATTCTATTGCTTTTGGATGGAATGTTCTGTATGTATCTGTTAAATCTTCCTGATCTGGGGTAAGGGCCTCCTTGAGAATTTGTTGAAAACTGTGGACCCTCTCTTTAGGCAAATGCACACACGAGATTTATATGGAATTTTAGGATCATACCCCAGGGCTGCCCCAACCTCCTAGCAGCCTTCTTCTCTTGGGAATGGGCCATGTTTCATTGTACTTTGCTGGATCACAGCCTCAGCAACACACTACCACTTATAAATAAGGCTGCTAATAAATTCAGGAGAGGGAGTGAGTTCATAAGTGGTCCCTGGGCCAAATGATTCAGCAGGTGACTCTTTTTTCTCTTTTGCCTTTTCAGCTCAAAGCTTGTAGCCTGAGGGACTGGGTACTTTTAGGACTTGCATCTCTTTTACCCTAGGAGATATTTAAAATCCACTTTGAATAACACTGACCTGGATTTCCTTTTCCTGGGGCTTTGCAGGGCCCTCTGGCCACTGGTGCCCTTGTGTCAAGCTAGCAGTGGGCCGGGGGCCCTGCACAGTCCTGTGCTCAGAGGTCTGCTGTGCCACCCCTTGATCAGGCCACATTGCATTTTTCTCCCCAAAATGACTAGTGACCCGGGTAGAATCCTTTATAGTTTACTCAGTTCTCTGATATATGCAAAAAAAAAAAAAAAAAAATCTATGGTCAGTGAAATGAAGAAACATACTCACAGAGGTATACCCAAGGTCACACACCAAGTATGTAGTGGGGCTCAAACATAGCTCTTGTCACCAAATCCCAAGTTCTTTCTACTTTTCCATGCTGATTCACTTTTCCCTTAGTCTGTACAGTTCCTCCTCGTTGGCAAATTGAATGTGAAGGAATATCCTCTGGTGAACACAGAGCTGGTTACCTGGTTCCAGCAGCTATTTTCTAAACGCCCTTTGCTGCCTGTTTAGCATCATTCATTCGTTTATTCAACAATCACGAGCATATCCTCTGCCCGGCTGATGGAAGAGTGCCCAAGCATAAATTAGGTACAATCCCGGGGCTGGCTCAGTTCCCACGGATGTTTTTTTTGACCATGATTTTTGTCTCCTGCAGAAATGCCAGATAACGCAGCAGCTCTGCTGGGCACTTGCTGTAAGCTCCAGATTATTCCTATGCTGTGCCACTTGGTAAGGAACCTCCCACATGACACCTGGGGATGGGCAGGAATGGGGAGATGATGAGGAGATGGACACCTAACAGCTGATAAGACACCTCTAGGCTTTCTCATCCTCAACAGCCATTCAAAATAAGTTAAACAGATATTATTATTAACCCCACTTTTTTTACACTCCACCCACACCACACACCCCAGGAAGACTGAGGCCCAGAAGGGGGAAAGGATTTGTTTGAAGAACTTACTAACAGGGCTAGGACTCCAACCTTGTCTTTACACTCTAAATCTCATGCTTTTCCCATTGTTTGGAGAGAATTTTTGCCAAGGCTTGGTGAAATGTTGCAGGGAAGAGGCCTGGCACCATATCATTTGCAGTGGCAGTTCTGTGGCTGGACCAGTTTGATTCAGCTCTGCATCTAATTCACCAGGGAGGTATTCAAGAGGACTGCTTTGTCTCAGGGAGACATTTCATTCTCTTAGGAATGTCATTAGCTTTGTGCCCTCTGGAAATGTCATGGTAAGAGCAAGAGTTAGGTAATGATGAACTTAGCCCCCTGAGAGTCAAGGTTAAGCTTTCCTGTTTAAATTACAAATTGGGTCATTACTAGAAGGAACCATCAATAGGCTGCCCAGAAACCACTCTAATTGACAGCTCCTCTAATGTAGCCTCTGCAGGTGCTGCTCAGCCTGGGGCAGAGTAGCAGAGCCTACCTGGCTGGATTATTTTAAGGTCTGGTTATTAAGGGCCAAGGCCAGCCTCAAGCTCATGTAGCCTCAAAGGACCAAAGCTCAGAGCCCTGCTCCCCGATCTGGGAAGCAGGTATTGGGGTAGACTGCCTAGATAGGACCCTCAAATTTGTTAAGTGTCTACTTTAGGAACTTCCAGCACTATGGTTAGTGCCTTTCGTACTTCTTTGCATAGCAAAGACACGTACAGCAAGGCATCAATTCCGAGGGGCAATTTAGATGTCATGCACGACTGAAAGCAGATTCTACCCGCCCAGAGAATGCTGCGTCCTTCTGCTTTGACCACAGAAATGGAACTACTCGAAAACATGCCAGCATGTGTGTCCTGAGGCCAGCTGGGGGTAAAGGCTGGTGGAATAGTTTGGTTATGGAAACAATACGTATCATTATCTAATTGTCTGCAATGATGAGCATGACAGTTCATCATAGCTGGGCTATGACAGTTTCATAGCCCCGCTTCCTTTTGCAGCAACTGAGTGCTTAGCATTTCCCAAGTTAGAGCCTTACCATGTATTGATAAAGTCATCAACTGCATTCAGGAAGCATATAAAAAAATACTGCGAAGACCATATTAGCTAACTCCCTCTCCCAACAAACTCACACTGAGCTGTCATCTTCCTTGCAGATCAGCTCGAGGATTTGATCTTTGTGTTGCTTCCAAGTTCTGCTCTGTTAGTGTTCTAAGAGTAGCCATTAGGACACACCTGAAGTTCTAGCATGGCTGGTATTCTACTTTGGTACAAAACTACCCACCCATAGAGACATTTGTTTGCCTTTGTGGGGCTGCTCCACATATGTAAAGAAATAATTTCTCTTTAAAGACCTTTCTGGGTGTCTTCACACAACCTTCCCTAGATATTGCAACAACTCTTCTTAAGACAGCGAGGCTCCTGCCCCCTGAATTGAGTATCATGTATTTCTTACAGGAATTTACTTAGAACAGGGTACAAAAATCTACCTGCATTCCTGTCTTTTCTTGTCTGGTGACCAGAGTAACCTTGAGAGGCTTTCTGAAGGGCTTTTGAGAGAACAGTGTCAGATACACTAACACATTTGTCATCCGGGTGAGAGAACTGGTAAGAAGGTGAGTTAAAATCATCAACAGAGAATGTTAATTCACCCCCCCACCCTGTGGGTGACTGTAGTCTCTTTTATACCTAGAAGTGCCTCTGGGCACTTGGGGTTGGCAGATATTCAGAGAAGGAGGCTGGATGTTGCTCAGCACTTCTCCTCCAGGCCCAGAACGCAGAGCCAGCGGTGCTGTTGGCAGTCTGCAGCCTGTGCTGGTGGAGCGCACTCTTAAATTGCTGGGAGGGATGTGGTGCTCGTGGCCTAATCCACTCTCTACAGCATAATCCACAGTTCACGGTCTGGGCCAAATGGTAACGTTAAGCCTGCAGTTACACTGCATGAGTTGTATTTGGCGAATCTACAAGCTGTAGATTTGTAAGATCAATTTTGATAATAGACACACAAGTACTTTTATATTCAAATGAGTGCTGCCCTTCAGCCATGGGGCAAGCTGTGTATTACTTTCGGTAAGGTTACCCCTGTTCAGAACATTTCTGGAATTCTTTTGGATTCCCTTCAGATTCAGTTAAAATTCACACATACTTTATAGGCTTACTTCATTTTTAAAAATTTTACGCTCCACATTATTAATCTGATCTGGTTCTGAATGCCTGTTTAAAAATCAAATCTACTGGAAAATTTGTAATTACTGAAGATTAAAACACAGTAAGTGTCACAGGCACTGATCAAGATCCTAAAAGCTAAGTTTCAAACGTTCTGAGCAGTCGCAATTAGAGCAGCATCCGAAGTGACCTCTCTGAAGAACTTTCATTCCACACATTGAGGGTCTATGTTCTAGGCAGGAAAAGGTGAACATGACAAACCAGGTCCCTTCTCTCCTAAGCAGCTTAGGTTTTAGTAAACAGACTGAAGAGTTGAATATCAAGAAGATAATTTCAGGTAGAGTAAGCATATGAAGACAATATAGTAATGTAATAGTGGCTGGGATATGGGGCAGGGAGTGGATCAATAGAGAGGGGATTAGGAAGGCCCTTCTGCCATGGCATTTCCACTGACAACTGAGAGATGAGGAGGAAAGGTCTGTGTGGCTCCCTGGAGGGAGAGTATGCCAGGTAAAGGAATAGCAAGGACAAAGGTTCCTGAGGCAGGAAGCAGGACTAACTAAACTACAGAACCGACCCCTTTGAGGAGTTCATGCAAAGATGTAAGAAATTCTATCTTCATTAAGATAAAAATTCAGACCAATCTTACATACTGTGTGCATGAGCAAGTTACATTCTGAAATTTCTAATCTACTGGAGGTAATGGATCTACTAGAAGGTAGAGTTCAGAGAGGGGGGATTCAGATAGAGGACTCCAGGCAAACTGGAAAAATCAAGCCTGAGATCCTGGCCTGGGTCAAATATGTCTTGTTACATCTTAAGGGGTTTCCTGCTCCTAAAAAAACACACTTTTTTTTCATAATTAGCTAGAAGTGCATTACTATTCAACTATTTGGATTTTCTATAACATTTTTAAGTGAATTTGTGTAAATGTGTCATTTCAGCTCCGTGCTCTGTCTGAGGATGGAGTATCTGATCTTGAAGACCCAGCCTTGGCTCCTCTGAAAGATACAGAAAGGTTTGGGATTGTGCAGCGTCTGTTTGCCTCAGCCGACATCAACGTGGAGAGACAGCAGTCGTCCGTGAAAGCCGTCACCCCGAAGGACCCTAACGTTTTCCCACTAATTCTTTACATAAGCCTGAATGGACTCTGCGCTTTAGGTGGAGCACATTAATAATGTCATATAGCGAATTACAAATACATGTCATCGGCCAAGGCTGAGTATTGTTAAGATACACTTTGGGGATTAGGTCAGATCTACGTTAAAAGTTGATCAAGGAAATGAATTTACAAAACAGTTTAAGAAGTGGTGACTTTTTGCACTATGAATCACCTCGAGTTTAGCCATCTGTAAAGTCTCTTTTTCATAAGGGCTCTCCTGTGCTGGTGACACAGTGTCCAAGTTAGACTCCAGCACCTGGAGAGTTGGAGGAGGGTTGGAAATTCTAAGCTACTATACATTCAGACCTTTTTTCTGCAGAAAAATAGGTCCATCTATCACTTTCTTATATTTCCCACTTTCTTTCTGTTATACAAAAACTGATGAGTCTGATGCTTTGATCCCAAATTTCGTTTTAAACTGTGAATGCTATGGGAAGGCAATTTCTCTTTCTAAAGAGGCTATGTTTTGGATGTGCTGTATGCCATGTGGTAAATGCCACTAGAGTACATATATTCTTCTGCTAAACAAAATTAGACTAAAATAATCTAACAGCAGGATACTCTTCCTTAGGGGTCTAGCTATATGCCTTTTATTTGACTTTGCCATGCTTTCCTGGACATACTAATTCTATGTCTAGAACAACGTGCTGATTTCCCATGCATTCTGGATGTTTAATTTGTAAAATACTACATATTGTATCAAAGGAAACTTTGAATTGTGTATATTTTGCTTTTTATTCTGTTTTGATATCCTTCTACTATAAATAGCTTGGACTGTCTCCCTAGTGCCCCCGATTCCATTGCTAATATCCACTGGGGACCTGAAGCTCCTTCTGCTTTCCCTTAGCAAAAAGTAGCTAGCCTTACCGCTAGAATTTGTCTTGCTTTAGAGCAGGGAGGCAGTGGGGATGAGGAGGAGCAGTTGATGGAGACAAATGTTACTCAGCATGTGTTTTTTACCTCAACGTCATCTGCTTACTCCCTCCTGCCCTTCAGATTTTAATGAGCACTAACAAGGAAGAAATGAAGCAAACAACCCTTTTATCACTTCTATTAAAAATGAGACTGAACCTTATGCAAATACTTATGATACATGAGAAAAAAAGGATACAGAGTTGTATGCTGTGGTAGCAACATAAAAAATAAGCACCTTATACACAAATTGGAAAAGAATATGCAAAAGTGAAAACAGTTGTGCTAAAATGGTGGCAGTATACATGCCTTTTTGTCTGGTTTTCTGAAATAAAGAACTGCAGACAGACTGTGTCATATGAATCTACTCGTGTAAAAACGAGATATACAAGTATCACAATGCATGGGAAACCTTGTTTAAGAGTTCATCAGAAACCCAAGAGTGGCTCCTTTGGGGAGAGGATTTAGAGGTTGGGATAAGAGGCAGAGGGGTGGTGGGTCACCTTTCTAGTCTTTTTAGAATTTTGTATGTATTATCCTCTAAATTTAAAACAAAACACTGGGGGCCAGCCTGGTGGTGTGTAGTGGTTAAGTTCGCATGCCCTGTTTCAGTGGCCCGGGGTTCACAGGTTCGGATCCCTGGCATGGACCTATGCACCGTTTATCATGCCATACTGCGGCAGGCGTCCCACATATAAAGTAGAGGAAGATGGGCACAGATGTTAGCCCAGGGCCTATCTTCCTCAGCAAAAAGAGGAGGATTGGCAACGGATGTTAGCTCAGGGCTAATCTTCCTCACCAAAAAAATAAATAAAACAAAACACCAAAAACTAAAGACAGACTTCAGGCAGAAAGAAAAGATGCCACTGCACAAGTGCCGAAAGTTTGGGTTACATCAACCAGGCAACCAAAGCATTTGGCTGTTTCCACAGTTGCCCTAAGACTGGCCAGTTATCCTGCTGGATTGTGTTGTAAAAATTAGCTGTTGAAGAGGACAGAGCCTTATACTGCTACAGGGGTTCCCAGCCCCCCAGTGACTGCTGCGCTTCTTAGCAGACCCCCCACTGGGATGTGGTGGGCAAAGAAATGATTAAGTGCCTGGCATGCTTGAGTGAGGGTGAGATTGGGCCTACAAAAGGTTCTTATAACTGGTAACGTCATCATTACCTATTATTATTAATTTTCAATGTACCTTTATTTACTGCTTGAGATCAAGAACCGTACTTTTAAAAATAGATTTGGAATAATTAGTTCCGGTAGCCCAGGATCACCCAGAAAACAGTAAATAGAATAATATTTCCTGGAACAGAACAGGACAGCCACCTTAAGTCAATGTTTCCGCGACCACTTCCTTTTCATAAAAGGCTCCAGGAAGAAACACTGACATTAGCTAGTGTGGTATGGCCTGATAATGGCCCCTCAAAGGTGTCCAGGACCTAATAATCCTGGAACCTATGAATATGTTGCCTTATGTGGCAAAAGGGGACTGCACAGGTGTTTTTAAGGTGATGGACCTTGAGATAAACGAATTATCCTGGATTATCTGGGTGGGCCCTTAAAAAAGAGAAGGCAGAGGGTCAGTGAGAGAGACTTGGCCAAGGAAAATGCAGGCAAGATGAGGCGTGAGAAGGATTGAGTGCAGTTGCTGGCTCGGAAGACAGAAGAGGTCAGTTCAAGGACGAGAGGGCAGTCCATCCGACAGCCAGTAAGGAAGCAGGGACTTCAGGTCTACAACTGCACGGAACTGTAGTCTGCTAACAGCCCGCAAGAGCCTGGAAGCAGATTCTCCTCCAGACCTCCACATGAGCCAGAGCAGGCCCTGGGAGACATCTTGATTTTAGCCTGGTGAGACCTGTGTTGGATTTCAGACCTACAGAACTGAGATAAGTTTGTGTTTAAGCAGCTAAATTTGTGGTAATTTGTTACTGCCGGGATAGAAAACTGACAGGTAGCATAAGATGAAAGAATGATATTTATATGAAACCTAATTCTCTTGCAGACATCAGAAATACAGTGGACTAGCAATTTCTGACGTACGAGGTATGGAATCCCAGAAACTAGCTTGGGAAAGAGTTGCAAAGTACCTTCTCTGGAAGCCGTCTTCCTGCACTCACCCAGTGACGCCTCCATCTCTGGCCAGCCTGGTGGGTCCACCTCTCTTTGCCCTGCAGGCCCCAGGGCTGAGCTGTGTGCCACAGCAGGCGTTGTCTTCCCCACCAGGGTTTCTCTTTCTTGGCTGGCTGGGAAATGGTCCTGCATCACATGCCATCTAACCACAGGGCCTTTTCTCGATCCTTTATTTTAATCTTCCCTGTCTCTGAAACTCTTTCCTTGAGTATGTTGTCTTTGAAAGGCACCGAATCGTTTGGGCTGGGACAGAGGAAACAACAGTTAGAGTTTCCTTGTTAAAGAAGAGAGGCAGGTGAAAAATTTATATATTCATTTTGGTGGGAAAAACTAAATGCCATGAGGCTATTTACAAAGACTATTAGCATTTAAAAGAAATTACCAAGCTAATTTGATATCCTCTGTATTGTATTATCTCTAAACCTTAGTTCTACCTATAAATGAAACACATTTTTTCCAATATTAAATATTTATTTTTTTTATATATACAAAAATATTTTACCAAGAGTATGCAATGTCACAGATGGAACACTTCAATAATTTTTGTTTTGGACAGCATATGGAAATATGTGAAAAGAAATTTATAGGGACAGTTTCTGAAAAATCAATAATTATACTGCAGGAAAAATTTATACAAGGACAGCAGTAATGTTTCTTTTATATAGTTCTAGTAATAAGATTACTTGGAAAGCAGTAGCAACTAAGTTTTACTTTTAAACTTTTTCATCAGAAACTTACTTTAGCAGCTATTCAGCTTGGGTTTTTAGGTTGCTAACAAGCATTTCGCCCTCCATTAAAAAACAATTCTCTTCTACAATCACGTCAAAGACTGGAGGTTAAAAAGAGCATGCATTTGTGTTCAAAATAAAGATATACCAAAATGAAACAGAAAAAAATATCCCCCAAAGCAAGGTTTTCACATCCAATACTCATCATGGGCTCTAACAGAGCCCAACGTCAACAGGTAGAAAATTACACTTGGTGCTGGACCCTAACACTCATCCTTCTACAGCGAATTCTTCTACCACTTCCTTAAAAACCAATGTTACCAAAGAAATGGGAGTCAGTTCTTTTACAGAGGACACACAGCCAAAAGAAACACTTATCTTGTATTTCAATTACCGATGGAGATGAGCTATTCCTCAAATCTGGCTCTACCTGAAAAGACTAAGGCATTTCTCACTTGGACCATGTTTACCAGAACAAGGCTCATGTCTTCAAAGCAATGTTACTTACACTACTGTCTGCCTCTCCTATTTAAGAATAAGATGAAAAGCATTGGTAATGACTTTTGGTTTAATGTAGGTAATTTACAGCTGAGGAGTTTTTAACGCTATGCTTTTCTCCTTTTCTTTGAAGCTCCCAGGCTTCTTGACTGATACGAGGAAAGCCAAATTTCAGGATGGCTTGTCATATTTATAGGTTTCAACCCCTGGCTTGCCGAAGTGCGATAAAGACATCTATTTCCAACTTTCAAAATAAGACCTTTTGGCTTCTGCTTTGTGGTAGTGACAATACATGTTCAGTGGGACTCAAGACAGGTTTACAAGCATTGAATCACTTTATCTCCCAAGTTGTAAGTGGCATTTATGTTAACCATAGACCTGTTCATTCAGTTTGTGCTGGAGATTAGAAAACAGTAAAAGTTAGTAGGAAAAAAAAAATGAATTGTCACTTCTGACTTTGGTGTCTGGAGGCAAGTTAGATTTATGATGGCACTACATTATCAGCTGATGGCTGTGAAGCAATTAGAAAGAATGTAACAAAAAATGCATTCATGTCTGATTTGAGGTCCACTAACTGGACCTAATTGAATGTTTCTCCCTATAAACAAACAGATGCCTTTTAAACTTAATACTATGGGTTAAACAACAGGGCTGCACTGATAAATTTCAGCCATAAGAATAAGCTAAGGAAGCTTTTAGGGGCAAAAGATCAGTGTCTTCAGATTTGAGAGAGTACTGGATTGCTTACTTAAATTTTGTTTGATTTGTGAGTGGTTTGGTTGGCAGCAAGGATTTGCTAAAGGTTTGGACTTAGAATGGTATTCTGAACTAAAATGGCCCTCTTGACCAGGGGCACTAGAGAGCAGAGCAGACCCTCCTCCAGGCGGAACTACACCCTTGCTGCTGTTTTAACACTGGAGGTAGGATTCTTGAATGGTGTGCACCATTCACTATGTTACCTCCGAAAGAGGTACACTTTTATAAAAGAACTGAAAGATAAGCAACCTCAATATAAGCGAAAAGTCACCCAATAAGGATTTTCCCGTTTAGCAATTGCTATTAATACAATTATTTCTTGTAATTTATGGTGAAGACAGACATTAAGTTAGCCTTACTTAAACAAGTGGAATACTAAAAGTACAGAGAGAGAGAAATTTTATCAAAGGTTGCATGGTCATGACTCAGAATTAAGATCTCAGCCAGAAGTACACCATCTCTATTTTTATCAGAAGAGACTATTTTAAAGAAATTAGTGCAATGTATTGCAGAATTGGTGCAAATCATACTTTTAAATTCTTACCTTAGAAATGAGATATCATCATTCCTTCACTTTTAGTGTTTAAGGAATCATTTTTGATCCTGTGCACTAAATCATTCCCGGAACACGAAAAGTAACATGATGAATTGTGGGAAATATTTAAAAAGGAGTAAAACTTAAAGCTAACAAAAATGCAATTTAACAATAATCTTACCTTAAAAAATTACAGAATTGAAATCTTCCTCAAATATACAATGTATACTCACATAAAAGTGATATGATGCTGAATCATTAGTGAATTGTATTCTTAAAAGTTTGTGAATATTCATTGTACTATAAAAATAATCCTATTATTTAAAGTACTGAATTTCTCCCAAGAACTCAAAATACATTACAGATGTTATTACATGAATTCTCACAGCAAATCCATTGGAACAAGAGGAGGGCGGGTACCATAATCTCAGCCTGAACCACATCACAAATTCATTCGAAGAGGCTTCCATTTAGGACTCTGTGCTTTTTCCTTAAGGAAATTAGGATATAATGATCATTTTCTGAGCTTAATTCCTCATATATTTTCCAGAAAAGAGATTAGTATCTGCCTCAAGATAAAACAAGAGCCTTTTAAAACAATGTGAAAAAAGTTTCAGAATGTCTAAGAACTTCGAAGGAAAAATTAAGAACACTAGTTATAATTACATGGGAGAACAAATTTAGTTTTATTATTCATGTATTTTGGGAGAGTTTTACATATTATACACATAGCTGTATATATATATATATTATATACACGGTGACTCAAACATTTAAAAAATGGGACCTGCTATCTATATACATAAAACTTCAGGAGTGCTTTTTCCATATTTAGTATAAAGATTCATTACTACAAAATTATAGGCTCTCTAGCCTGTGATCTTCAGAAGTCGTAAAAGTACAATGTTAAGTAGATCACTATTTTGATCAATTTTCAAAACTTTTATGTTCAATGTTTACCAACTCAAAATAATTGTACCTAACTCCATGGCTATCCATCTCGAAAATCAACCTCAATCACTGGATCATGGCACGTGTTGTTATATATAAAAATAAATAACAATTTAATGAATTTTTAAAGCAAAGATCATCTTTTATTGTCATTGGGATATTATGGTCAAAGCAGTTAGTATCTGGCCATAATCTATAATGCTACACTATTGTATTTTATTGCTAATTTGCATTATTTTCTAAATTTCTATTAATAACCAATTTTCTCTTTTAAAGAAAACTTGTCCTTATGAGCTATTATAAATAAATTTACTAAATTCTAGATTCTAGGGTTCAGGCTACTATTTCTGTAGTCATACTGGGTTATGATATGATTTCTATTTTAGAAGGCTACGTTCAGCAATTGTATAGTTAGAGTTCGCAAAAGTAAACAAAGTCCTGATGTACTGGATATTTGATATTATCCAAATATCAAACAGAAATTGAGACTGCATAATCAAGGCGTGGCTGTAATAAAAGTGAAATTCTTACTTGTAGTGTATCATACATATTCCACTAGTTACAGTTAAGTGACTTATCCAGGACATCACCTCCATGGGTATTTGTACATTTGAAAATGAAAAGTACATATATAATATTTAGTTGTATATAGTCATGCCCTATTCATGAATGCTGAATGTGGATACTCACCTGTCCACAAGGAATCCTCAGATGCTTTAATGTATTGGCACATCATGTTTCCTAAAGCATATGCACGTGCATGTGTATTTTAACTACTACCAATTGTTCAACATCACTTTAAATCTTTTTCTCTTTGGTAAAGCTAATTGTCTTGGACCTTCCCGCAAGAGAGGTTCACATTTCCTTGATCACAACTATACTCTCATTGCCCTGGGAGAATCCTGGGGCCTCTGGGACTGCTTGCCCCAGCAGAGCTGCGCGGGTTCCTGCAGACTCAGATGGGACTTGAGTTTCAAGTTCAATGACTCTTTACTGAGATACAATGAACTTTTCTGAATTTATTCTCTTCAGCTCTGGCATCTAGACTGAGATGAACTCAACTGCATCATTTTATTTTATATTAGGAGGGATCTGGTGTGTATTAACTAAGTAGTTCGCGATGAATACTATTTACATTAGAAATAATTCCTTTAAGTGTAGACTATTTTCTAAATGATATGCATTTTATACCATATAAGGCTGAAAATATATATGATGTAAAAATCGCCCCTCTTGTGTCTAGATGGTTGAAATACTTCTTGTGCCGCTATAATGATCCCAAAGCCGTTCAGAGGCTCCACGCAGCAGTATGAAGGCGTATCACAGAAGACAGCACATTTACTGAGGATGTGGAAATGAAATTTCTCTTAAAATTTACAGTGTGTTGAAACACTGAGTCATAAGACATCATCTTGACACTGTGCTTGGATGCATGTTGCTTTGAGAAGCCAAGAATTTGATGTAAATATATGTGGTTTAAAAGTTACCAAAGTTATGGAGCTGGCCCCGTGGCTTAGTGGTTAAGCACGTGTGCTCAGCTACTGGCGGCCCGGGTTCGGATGCCGGGCGCGCACCAACACACTGCTTGTCGGGCCATGCTGAGGCAGCATCCCACATACAGCAACAAGAAGGATGTGCAACTATAACATAGAACTATCTACTGGGGCTTTGGGGAAAAAAAGGAGGAGCACTGGCAATAGATGTTAGCTCAGGGCCGGTCTTCCTCAGCAAAAAGAGGAGGACTGGTATGGATGTTAGCTCAGGGCTGATGTTCCTCACCAAAAAAAAAAAAAAGTTACCAAAGTTATTAAAAGAGTATGAGCCATTTTGCCACCAATTTCTTAACAAAGAACATGACTTTGTGTTCTGGATATGAAATTCTGTAATAAAAAAAAAACCTATAGATTTCTAATCTTAACAACTCAGCAACTTGGGTGTTTTGTTTCACTGTGAAAAAGATTTATGACAACGTGTGCCTGCTGCGTATGGCCATGTGTCTTCTCTTCCCTCCAAGTCCTCCCAGCTGGCGTGCTAGGTGACAGCTTCGGTGAGGCGAAAAGAGATCCAGTAGCAAGGTGTCTGGTGCCCACCACCAGACAAAAATGACCACCAAGAGTTAAGCACCTAACCCTCTAAGTGTGAACACTGTTCACATGAAAAGCCAGCAGCAATATTGAGACATGGCTAATGAAGTTTAATGACGAGCTGCGTCTCTGAATACGTTTTAGGAAGAATTTATACCACCCAAGAATCCTAACGGAAGATATTAACTGAGATGAATTTTGGAAATTTGTACATGTTAATGCATCTCAAGGAGAAGAACTGTTTTCCTAATCATTAAACAAAAAAGTGCATTTCCTAACAGAAATGTAAAAAAAACCCAACATTATTTAATATATATTATATAATACATACAATGTACATATTATATAATGTATATATTATATATATATAGATAAAACAGCTGACAGTTATTTCCAAATTTCATAAATTGTTCAATGGATTTGGTTTTCAGCACAACAAATCGAACAAACACCCTCATGATCACATCACACTTCAGAAAGCACACCAGTTGTTCACAAAACCCCCCAACTGCCACCTGGGAGGCATTCTTTTCAGCGTCACAGACATTTGCAGAGGCAGGATACATTTGCTGACCATATCCTAATAAAAAACTGTATAAAGCAGTAGGTTCATTTTTGTCAGTTAAACTTTTACATGTGAAAATAAATCCACGTTGAGTGTCATTTTGCTGTCAGGTTGTACAGGATAAGGCACTCTCTCAGCCTGCGTGGTCTTGCCTGCTGTGCACACATTAACTCAGCATCAGCCTGTCACTATAGCAAACGAGAGTGCAAGGTATTGCTCTTCATTTTTTCACTCAAGATAGAAACGAAGGGAAAAAACCAACCTATCTGTAGAAATTAGAAATGGATAGCCATACATCTCTGAAATAACTAAACCATGGAGCACTGAGCAGACTTCTGATGTCAGACTGGATGGGAGTAGACAAGCGATAGCACTGACATCCAAGTTCTGCTTCTGTAACCAATCACATTAGGAAAGAAGGCCAATATCTACTATTTTCTCCTAATAAGAGTAACTGACCCTTCACTAAATACTGAACTAAACGACAGCTTTACAAAACGATTTCAAGTATTCATTATCACAGTGAAAATGTGAGACCAATGTTCGAGTGAGTGATCTGAAAATTCCTGTGATGAAAAAGGCAAGGGTACTAAATCAAAACATATACAAAATGCTTCAACGCATTTCTTCATGTGATATGAATAGAAAGATTGTCCATAAAAAGTTAGAAAAATTAAGATAAATTATATATTAGTACACCTTCCCAACCACACTTCATATAAAAATTCAGAATAGTGTACTGGTATTTCAATCTACACAATAAAAATGCCTGGGCTTGGCAGGTATCTTCTATCTGTGCATGTATTTTCTTAGTAGAAGGTTTATTTGTTGCAGTCACTTTTAAAAGTTTTATTAATTGTGAACCTTATCGAATCATCAGTAAACCCAGCTGATTGGGACCCACTGTGGCTCCATTCTCAATTTCTCTATGGCAGTCTGTAGTTTCTCAAAGGCTTTGTCTAGATTGTCGTTTACGATGATCAAATCAAAATAGTGGTTGTACGCTCTTTGAATCCGTGCACTTTCATCCACTGTTTTCTTCAAGTCCGAGTCCTGTCGAAGAGTTTTAAAAGGAAATGTTTATATCACAGTAGATATTTACTCGCTCAAACACCAACTCAAAGTGAACATAAGAAATAAGTAGGTTGGATATTTGTTTATTGTGGTTCTGACATTAATCCTTGAAACCTAATCTATAGAGAGTGTTATACCATCTGCTCATATTCTAGTCTTTCCAGCCGTGTTCATGTTTGCATTTATGAGTATTTTGTATCTTCTGTTTCATTGATATTAGGATAAGATTCCTGACTTTTGCTTTTCCTGATTATTGCTGACAATAATCTAAAGGTGAAATCTAAGGTAAGAAAAGAATTATTGCAGGTGACTGGTTTCTAGCCCAGCTATATCATCCTTTTCAAAAGATTTTTATCTTACGGACTCTGTAAATCATGGAAGCCAATTTGCAGTGGCTATTAAGCTCAAAGCCAAATTTGCTGCCCCCTAAGAAAGAGGATCTTAGAATTGTATTTTGAAGACTAACTCTACATGCTTCCCATCCCCACCAATTCACACGCACACTTTTATTTATTTAGCTAGCATTGTTTATATTTCATAAAATATTTCCAGTTGTTTTGCAGTGATGTGGGGGAATAAATATGAAATGGGTTCTGCATGCAAGTAAAGGTTTTCATTAAATTCCAAGTGTTTTGAAATTTCACAATACTTCTACATGTTCTTCAAATATTTGAGTTCCTATTAAAGTGTCTACTATGTTTCATAATCTGTGGCTATAACAATGAATAAGACAGAATGGGTTCCTATCCTCTAGTGGAGGAGACAGATAAAGGACAAATAAACACAAGAACTTGCAAATCGTAATAAGTACTATAAAAGCAAATCAACCAGGAATAAAGAATTTTGAGAGATCTAACTTTAGAGCAAGTAATTACCAAGACACTGAGTAAATGACATTTAAACTAAGAACTACAGTGGGAGAAAGAGCATTCCAGGCAGAGGAAACAGCAATGCAAAATCCAGGAGGGAAATGACCCTGATGTGTTTAAGATATTGAAAGAAGACCAGGATGGACGGAGGGTTGGCGCAGGGGTAGTGAGTTGAGACGAGCATGGGCTAGGTCACGGAGGACCTAGATACAATGGAAAGACATCTCTGGATTATGATGGTGGCAGAGGTGATGGAAAGAGACTGGAAATATATTTTGGTGATAAAATCATTAGGATTAGCTGATGGGCTGGATGTGAAGAGTGAGGAAAATGAATCAATCAAGGATAGCTCTTGAGTTTCTGGCTTGAGTAAATGGGTGGTTGTACAAGATGCAGAGTTGGGGGGTAGGGAGAATATGATTTTGGGGGAAAAATGGTCTACTTTGTACATGTTAAGTTGAAGATGTCTGTGAGACATCCAAGTGGAGATGTAAAGAAATAGGCAACTGGTTATGCAAGTTGGAGCTCTGAGGTCTGGGTTACCTATACTGTATATAAATTAGGAATCATCAGTATAACAACAGCATACAAGTTAATGAATTTGGTGAAAACACCTACAGGAAAAGTGTAGAGAGAGAAACAGGTTCCCAACTAGGCCTGAGGGACACTAATACATTTTAGTTAATACTTTCACTGAGATTTCTAAATAAGTTTGAAACAATTAAAATATATTTTATTATAGAAGAGGAAACAGGCCAAAATTCAATGTGAAAACAATTCTTAACTATTACAGTCATTAGCAATCTGGCTTGTTAAAAAAAAAAAAAACAACAGTTTTTTTTTTTTTTGACAATAATAGTTTCTAACCATAATGGAATAACCAAACAGATGAAAAAAAGGATAAAGAATCTCTCTCTATGGCTATAGAGTGATCCCCAAAATATATTGTTAAGTGAAAAATGCAGGCAGACTATTGTATATAATAAGCTACCTTTTATGTAAGAAATGGGGGAGGGAGGATATACATACATACTTGCTTATATTAAAAAAAAAGAGTGAAAATGGCTACCTATGTGGGTGGGAGGGAAAAGAGTGGAAAGGACAGAGAAAAGCCAGATTTTTTTGTTTTGAAGATTTACTTTGGAACTATGAAAATGTATAAAATTATACAAGGAAATTAAATTCAAATAAAAAAAGAGCAATACCTAAAAATCAAAAGCAAAATGAAATAAACCCATGTTTCAAGTTGATGACTTAACCACGCAGAAAGGAATTATTTCAGTGACTTTAAAATAAAATAACTTAACACCCAGTGGGATATATAGATATAAGAACAATTTCTTTTAAAAGTCTTAAAACTTTTCAATAATCATATTGTTAATATTGATATTGTTATTCAGAAATTATACATATAGTGTGTGCTTGGTTTTTATATGTAAAGTAAGGAATTATGTTAATGTCATCAGGAACCAAGATTTTCAGCTAAGAGGAAAAAAGTTAAATATAAAGTCAAAGAAGTGAAGTAAAAATAATGTAAAATTTGAATTGGAACAATTAAATTGAACTAATGATATATGTTTTCTAAAAAATGAAAATGTATTTCCTACCTCTGGTCACTGAAAAGGCCTAGAAACAATGATCAACTAAGTTAAATGCACACCTTTAACACCTATATTATCTCTAGATACCATTTCCCACTAAAAGGAACCAGGGCTGTTGGATGGCTGGTTCCAGGTCTGGGCCAAGAAATTGGTAAAGATAACCTGGAACAGCCTATCCTTAAGGGAAGCAAAGACTCATTAAAGATTATTGGGATTGTGTTAAAAAGACTCAGAAGACAAGTTGAATGGCTCCTCCCAGCTGAAGATAGGACAATTTAAACATCAAAAGAGTAATAACAGACCTAAGTACACAGAGAGGAAGTATTCCAAGTGATTTTTATACAGCGATTTGACTGTATATACTTAGTGGGATAAACCCTAAGGACAAAAAAAACACGAGGAAGAAAACAGTACACCGTAATCACACCTAGCAGTGTTGGTGTACTTACTCTCATGTTGTGTGTGTGCTGTGGGATAAAGCAAAGGAGCAATTATGTGATATTCTAACATTCCCAGTGTTTTTGAGAACTGAGATACTCAACACAGGAGAATGGAGTTATAACATACAAGAGGTTAAATAAAAACCCTGTAATCCTAAATTTGATTGGGAAATTATCAGTATGAATTCATTATACAGTTCCTTCAAACATATAAAGAGAAAAGCATATATCTTTGTGCTCTGTTTACCTAAAAGGTGTAGCTAGAAACAATAACCAATCTTGGGACAAAGTATTACTGTCTTAAAATACCATTTATCCTAAAAGGAACCAGAGCTTCTTGAAAAAATAGCTGATTCCTGGCCTGGAATAGGAAATGTACAAAACAAGCCAGGAACACTGGTCATACCAGATAGTAAGGGAGCTATCCGAGACCATTAGGCTCATGAAATAAGCTCTCAAGGGCCAACTTGAATAAGCTCCTATTGGTCAAAAATGGGACAATTTGAGCATCAATAAGAATAATAACTGCAATAGAGTAAAACTAAGTAAGTTTAAATCTATGTGTTCATGATGAAACCAAAAAACAATGAAAACAATCCTTATGTGGTCACTGTCACCTCTGGAGGCTCTTAGGGAACAAACCCATTATTCTGAAAACTGACCCATAAAGGGGAAGTATCAAGCATGTATCCTGACTTTCCTATATGAACTCTACTTCAGAGTAATCAACTAGTTGATAAAGAAAAGTTATTTTTTAGAAGAAATCTAGTTTATAAACACAGAAACAATCACAAACTTAGAATATTACCACTTTACAATCCCTAAAAAAAACAACTGATCCAGGCAAAGATCAATACAATTTGCTAAAATCATGAGGTGAAAAGCTACTGGGGAACTTTACAGATCAGGCTAACATCATCTGAACCCACTGATTCATCTTATTACAAAAAGAGAGACAGCCTTTCATATGCCTCATAATGTAACAAAACAAGAAGTACTACTTATTATTCTTGAAAAAAAACTGAACCTGTATCTGATCAAGCCTCTATCAGTTCACAGGAAATACAAGGAATAGAGGAAAATGACAGAATTGGTAAAATCCAGACAAGGAACATTCTATAGGATAAATGACCCAATTTTTTGAACAAATAAATTAGAAGGTTAAAAGAGAGAGGAGGGAGGGAGGCAGTGAGAACCTACCAGAGTGAAAGAGACTAAAGAGATGTCTGCTTCCAGATAAGATGTAGTAACAGGAATCAGACTAACCCTCCCGCCTGACAACTAAAGCAGACAAATGTACAGAACAATTGGTTTTCAGACATCGTACATCAGGCAACGAAAGACAGAGACCTGAGAGAGACAGGAAACAAATGAAGTGAGCCCCATGATTACCCCAGCTTACTGGTTTCAAACAGTTTCTAGGCTGCAGCACAGCAAGGCAGAGCCCAGGAGGAGCCCAGCAAACTCTTTAAGTCAGGAGAGAGTTGAGAGTCCAGGGAGACCAAGGCAGCAAGAATTCGCAGGACAGAGTACCGGAATGGAAAAGCAGCACAGTGAGAGAACTTTGGAGCCTTGCAGGAGGTCCCCTTCCAGCATTCAGCTGAGTACCAATCAGTGCATGTGTACAACTAACCGAGGCCACCAAAGAACCACCAGAAAGGATGAGGGGTATTCTTCCCGAGCCAGGAGCAGTACCTATTTGCACCAGGCAGAACAGAACCTCATGATGCACAGGTCATTTGGGAGGGTACTCAAATGGTCTTGCTTCCATAGTGGAGAATAATTGCCCCTAGAATGAGAACAGCTCTGGTCCTTCCTAACAAATTTTAAAAGCAAGACCAGAAAGGAACAAACTATTTCCAAATAACTGCATCCCAGAACAAAGCTCACAATGTCTGGCATCCAGTAAAAAAATTACCCAGGATTGCCAAGAAGCAGGAAAATACGACTCATAATGAGGAGCAAAGTCATTCAATGAAAACCGATCCAGAACTGACACAAATGTTAGAATTAGTAGATGATGACATGAAAATACTTATTATAACTATATTTCAGATATTCAAAAAGTTAAGTAGAGGGCTGGCTCCGTGGCTTAGCATTCGGGTGCGCGCGCTCCGCTGCTGGCGGCTGGGGTTCAGATCCCGGGCATGCACCAACACACCGCTTCTCCGGCCAGGCTGGGGCCACGTCCCACATACAGCAACTGGAAGGATGTGCAACTATGACATACAACTATCTACTGGGGCTTTGGGGAAAAAAAAAAAGGAGGAGGATTGGCAATAGATGTTAGCTCAGAGCCGGTCTTCCTCAGTAAAAAGAGGAGGATTAGCACGGATGTTAGCTCAGGGCTGATCTTCCTCACAAAATAAATAAATAAATAAATAAAAGTTAAGTAGAGATAGGGAGCAACCACAAAAAGAACAAAGACGACTAACACTACTTGGTTTCAAGGCTTATGAGGTACAGGGTGGGAGGAGGTGGAAGCAGCAGGAGCGGGGGATTCTGAACGGGCACAAGGAAACTTTCTGAGGTGACAGGCAGGTCTGCTATCTTGACTGCGATGCCTTCACGGCCGTATACATATGCCCAAACCAACTTATCAAGTTGCACACTTTCAATATGTACAGTTTATTGTATGTCAATTACATCTCAATTAAGCTGGGGCAAAAAATTTAGAAGACATCAAGTAAATGCAATGTGTTAATCTTGTTTGGATTCTGATTTGAACAAATCAACTGTAAAAAAAAAAGATAAATCTTGGGGAAACTCAAATATAGACTGAATATTGATGATATTAAGCAGTTGCTCATTAATTTTTTATGTGTTAATGGTGTTATGGTTATGTTTAAAAAGTTTTTATCTTTTAGAGACAAATACCTAAGTATTTATGGTTGATATGAATCAAAGATTTGCTTCAAAATAATTCAAGGTAAGAGAGGGAGTGAGGAGAGGTTGAACTGAAACAAAAATGGCCACGTGTTACTGAAGCTAGGTGATGAGCACATGGGAGCTCATCTTTTTCCTCTTTTGTGTATATTTTAAATTTTCCATAATATGAAAAAAGAGAGAGGGAGAATAAGAGAAAACATGTAACAGAAACTAAAAGGCAGAGCACCTAACTCTACTGGTAGTAAACCATACGACGAACATGCTTGTTAATGGTCTTGGGGCCCAGATTCCTCATTAGTAAAATGTGGGGGTTGGATTAATATGCATATTTTAATACTGGCCCATTTCACTTACATAGGGGGAGTAAACTTTTGTTTTAAAATAAAGTGAACAATGATTTTTAAGTAAAAGCAATACTGTTCCAAATCCTAACTACATCTAGTAAATAATTTTTTACTCTAGAATACCTTATATAGTATATTTATTTCATAAATATGATTAGATAGAGTTAAACGTGCCCAAAGGAAAAGGAAAAATTTCAGGAGGAAAATAATATTGTTAGCCTGAGAAGAGCTGCTCACCGTCAAAAGCTTGGTAGTAATGCCAGCATCCACCACAGCCTTGTGCATGGCACGTAATGTCTCTAGTTCCGGAGCAGCAATAAATACAACATAGGGCATGAACTCGGATGTCCTCAGCACTTTCAGGGCCTGTGTAGAGAACAATTACAAACCAATTTATATAGGATTAGAATTTGAATTATGTAACCCTTTAATTTGTATTAAATACTAAATAATCAAAGTTTATCTGCCCTCTTCCTAAGTACTAAGGATTTAATTTAATACTTGCCCCCCTTCTAACCTTTTGATTCCATACAATACTTTCCTAAAATAATGATCCATTAATTGTGTTCTGACCTCAGTTTCACTACTCTTTGATCCTCTTGAATAAAGGAAAGTATTAAACTTAATGATCCAAAAATCATCAAGAATGACATAAACACTTTCTATGTTAATCGTAGAATTCTGTTAATACTGAAAAAGCAGAAATAATAATCTCAGTGCCTATTAATTAGAGAGTGGTTATATAAATTAATACACATCTGTACTATGAAATACTATACAGCAATTATAAAGAAAAAAAAGCTCTATGGTAACTGACATGAAAAGATCTTTAAGAAATACCGTTTAATGAAAAAGAGCTAAAGAATCTGTGTAGAATTTTTCCACTTATGTAAAAAAGAAACAACGACAAAAATAGAAAACCCATTACATTTTTTATATGTATTTGTATTTAAGGCATACTAAAATAAAGCAAGATACAGACCAAACACCAAAATAATAATATTTATCTCTGAGTAGGGAAGTGAGGTTGGGTTGAGTATAGAGGGGTGGAAGGGGTCAGTGAGAAAGACATGGAATGAGAATGAAATGAACTGTGTTTGTGTGTCTTGGGTGGGAAGGGGTGTGACTTCAATGTTTTATTCTTTATGTTGCAGTGCTGTTTAAATTTTAAATTTAACATTTTCTAACACATGCGTTTATATATTATTTGAGCAAGTACATAAATAACTAAACTTTTATCAAGTTTCTATTGCTATCCAAGCCTCTGTTGGCTAGTTGATCAGAGATTTATTTAACTAGCTGTAGATGCATAATAAGGTTCTCTACCAACAGGGAAATAGGGAAAGAGCCACCTTCACAATCTGAAAACAAAATAAAACAAAAACCCCACATGAAATAAAATTTAAAAAACAGGTTTGGAATCCATGCAGCTTACTTGTGGGTTGACATCCAAAATGCAAGTTCGCCCAGTCTGGACAACTTCAAGGATAGAATCAATCTTGGTTCCATAGAGATTTCCTTCATATTCCCCATGTTCCAAATATTTTCCAGCTTTAATATCTGCTTCCATTTCAGATCGTGACACAAATTTATATGCCTGGCCATCTTTTTCATCTTCCCTTGGTTTCCGTGAAGTAACTAAATAAAATAATGTTGAGAATTTGTATAAAGAGAATGCAGGGTATTAAAAAACAGACTAAAATGCAGAGGGTAGCTTGAGATTTTTCCACTTAGTGCAGGGGTTGGCAAACTATGGCCTATGGTCAAATCTGGTCTGCTTCCTATCTTGGTAAATAAAATTTTATTGGCCCACAGCTATGCTCGTTTTATCATCTATGGTTGCATTCATTTACAATGGTGGAGTAGTTGCAATAGAGACCAGATGGCCTGCAAAGCCTAAAATATTTACTATGTGGCTCTTGAATTAAAAAGTTTGCTGACCCTTCATCTATAGGAATGTTTTAAGAGGTAGTCCCCAATATACAATTTGTATCGAAAAATGTGCTTTATAAAGTCAGTCTAAAACTCAAAATACATTTACCTAGAAACAGAGCCCTAAATTTAAATTCTCAACTATGGCAAATCCTAATAAGTATGAGGTATGTTGTAAGTGAACATCTTTTCCAGTCGACCAGCACTCCCCTTCTCCTTAAGGAATATCAATTTTATCCTTTCTTTACACTTTAACATTTCCTAGTTGAGTGCCCGACAAGTGAGCAAAGTTCTCCTATTCTTAGTTGGTATTATCAATTTTCTAAAGTGTAGTTTTACCCACAAATTATCTATCCTTTGTCTTGCCTCAACACCAATTCTTTCTTTTAACTTCCTGCTTGTTGATATTCCCAAACGTTAACTTCTATTTTGAACCTCAGTGGTGGATCTAGCCACCTCTATGTTATTATGGTTTACTATTAAACATCATCTATTCTGACCTAATGTATTCTTTCCGAGAAAATGAGAGTGAATAGATCAGGTCAAAATTTAGAAGTTCCTTTTGTCTGTTATTTTAGAACTCTGAATCCTTTCAGAGATATCCAACTCCTTTGCAACTTGGGCCATGCTAGTTATGGACTATTACCATCACCTTTCAAACTGTTGCAAAGGTGTAGAGTTGGGTACTCTCTGCCAATTTGTTAACACTAGCTTGGAAGAAGAGAAGTAATTCGTGTGTGTGTGTGTGTGTATGTTATTTCCAAGTTTAGCCTTAATTTGAGTTTGGCTGGAGCAGATATATAAAAGTATTCTAATTCTACTAATCAAGTACTTATAGATGCAGAATACCTGATGAAATCATTAAGCACATGCAATTAAAATTAGAAAGTAATCTAGATCAAAAGTTGACAGTATTTTGACTATTTGTAATAAGCATAATACATCAAGAAAACCTTTATAAGAACAAAATGAACGTCAAATTCAAGCTCAATAATAAGGGTCTAATACATAAATGAGATCATTATGTACAACAGGACTCCCTTTTTTCCCTTGTTTTCTGGCTCATCCTTGAGGGTGATCAATCCCAGACCACTGTGGAGAGCATTTATAAAGTAACTTAAAGATCTTCAAGATGCCAAGGTGGCTTTTCATATTCAAAAATGTGTGATCTCTAAGGTTTCTGCAATTATTCACCAAAGGTTGTATGATAAAACTTCTAATGCAATTTTAAACTCCCCAAATAAGTACATATGAGGACTTGGCTCAATATCTGTGATTATAATTTTAGAAAAGCACTATCTTTTGGTGAAGCTCTACAGTGAAACTATACATGGGAATGTGCTGCTTGAAATAAATATGTATAGGCACACACATTGCCCCCATCATCACCTCCAACATGTTGAGGGAATCTTAATTCTTGGAGAAATGTTTCTAGTTTACAAGTGAATTTTAACTACAATCTCATTCTCCAGTGAACACTCAAAAAAAAAAAAAAAAATCTATATTGCCACATACTTAAGCCCCTTTCCATTCCTAGAACAGAGAAATTAGGATAGGGTAGCTTGACTACAACTGATTCCTTAGGCTAATATGCTAAACAACTACGTAATGTGATTTCTTAGAATTTTGTTTTTGTGATTGATAGGCAAAATTCTAAATTTTAGCAGCACTTCAAATAATGAGGAATCACTCAAGGTAACATTTTATTTGTTAACTAAGTTCAAGATGTCCATGTTAAAGACGTCATAAGGTAGCTTGTCCCCCTGGATTAACAGTTTTTTCTATTTTATTTTAGGATCATTTTATGACATAAAGAAAATTAAATCAATTTACTATAATGCTAGCATTTACCTCCTTCCCTATTGGACTTCCCCATCCACTGCACCTGACAGTTAAAAGCACCTGACAATGTGCAGCACAATATTGTGCATCAGAAATTAGGCAAACTTGTCACATTTTATCAGTGTTTCTTTTTTGTGTTGATTCTGAGGCTTAAGAAAAAGCTAGATGCTATAAGTATAAAGGTGAATGATTTAAAGAGAAATAAAATACACCTACATTATATAAAGAAGTGAGAGCTGATTTGATGTATGTATAAACATAAATATTCCTGTATAAAAATTCAGATTTGAATCTTTACTAAAAATAAAGATCTGTTGAAAGGTAAAAGAATATATCTTTCTGGAAATTAATTTGGCACTAAGAAATTGAAACATTTATATAGATCCTTTGATCTAATAATTTTACATCTGAGATTTATGTATATACACTTTACCATCTCTTTACTTGTAACAAAAATAACCACTCAAACCACATAAATGTGCCATAACAGTAATGGTTATATAAAGCATAGTATACTTACATGCTGGAATATTAAGAAGCGATTAATTTTTTTAGTTTTTTTTATCATGGTAAAACATACACAACATAAAATTTATCATTTTAACCATGTTTAAGTGTACAATTCAGTGGCATTAAGTAAGTATACATTGTTGTTCAACCATTCCCAATATCTATCTCCAGAACCTCTTCAGCATCCTAAACTGAAACTCTGTACCCATTAAACAATGACTATCCAAGGCCCTGGTAATCACTACTCCACTTTCTGACTCTATGAATTTGACTATTCTAGGTACCTCATATAAATGGAATCATACAATATTTGTCCTCGTGTCTGGCTTATTTCATGCAGCATAACATTTTCAAAGTTCATCCATGTTACAGCATGGATTAGAATTTCATTCTTTTTTAAGGCTGAATAATATCCCATTGTATGTACATATCACATTTAGTTTATCCATTCATCCACTGATTGACATCTGAGCTGTTTCCGCTTTTTAGCTGTTGTGAATAATTTGTACTCATGCACTAAAATTTGCACTCGTATACATATCTGAGTCCCTGCTATCAATTCTTGTGGGTATATACCTAGAAGGTGAATTTCTGGAACATATGGTAACTCTTTAATTTTTTGAGAAACTGCTATACTGTTTTCCACAGCGATTGCATAATTTTACATTCCCACCAGTCATATACAAGGGTTCTAATATCTCCACATCTTTGCCAATACTTGTTTTCTGTTTTTTTTAAATATATAACAACATCCTAATGGGTATGAAGTGGTGTATCATTTAGGTTTTGATTTGCATTTCCCTAATGATCAGTGATGTTCAGCATCTTTTCATGTGCCTATTGGCCATCTGTATCTTCCTTGGAGAGGATACTATTCAAGTTCTTTGCCCATTTTTGAATCGAGTTTTTTTTTTTTTTTTGGTTGAGTTGTAGGATTAATATTTACAAAAAAACGTAATGACTTGCGAGAAAAAGCTCATGATATAATGTTCCTTCATTCATTCATCAGATAGTTATCAGGTATATGCTATATGCCAGATCCTGTTCTAGATGCTGGGTCTATAGAAGTGAAAACGACAGACAAACTCTCTGTTTTCATGGGACATATTCTTAAACGTGGAGATACGTGAGTAGTCAAATAACAAATAAGAATTTAAGTTGCCACACTTGCCAAAACACAACCACTAGGTACCGAGGAAGCTACTTTAGATTGAATGGTCAGTGAAGGCCTCGGAGAAGATGAGACCTGAACAGAAAGTAAAATTCGTGCATGTGATGATCTGGAAGGCAGAGTGTTCCAGGATGAGGGACCAACAAGAACAAAAAGGTGTGAAGGATAACTCTGAGGAGTTTGAAGAAAAGGAAGATCAGTGTGTTAAATAGGGAAAAAAGTATGTAAATTTTAAATGAGTAATATGATTGTAATTCTGTGATTAGAAATTATTTTAATTGTTTTCTTTGTATTTATAAACAGAATGTTAAATGAGACTTTTCTTGCAGTCTCACAATTTCCTTCAAGTCCTAAGTAGGTGCTAGAATGCCAAAGATCTACAGCTTTCTCTTTCAGAGTTTACCAAAAAGTGGCTGACTTGGTCCTAGAATCATCTATCTACCTATCTCCATCTTATGTACACTCAGAAAGGAGTCACTGAGGTAATGAGTCATAGGTTCGGGGGGAAATGGTTTATTTTCTTCTTTCCTTACCCCATGGTAAAATGACTCTCCCTGGAGAATTCTGAAAGCCCATGATGGCATGTCAGTGGGGTGATTTGTACTCCCAACTGTTTAGCAAAGCAAGAATGAGCTTCCAGTGGGCTGTGTGTATGTGTGTGTTCAAAAGGTAGCCTGGCTTGAACTATTTTGAAGGAATCCTGCACAGAAAGACAGGATGAAGGGTAGAGAACCAAGCAAAAGAGAGTATGAGCTATGTGATTGGAGCTTGGGGTAGGTCTCAAGGAGACACCTGGAGATCTTAATACCCTTGCCAGGGAATTGCAAAGTATGGAGGTCTCTACAGAATTGCCAAAGAACCTGCAAAGAGGCCTCATTGAAGAGACAGTATTTGGACATTTGTGACATAAAGGACTCCATTCTCCACCAGACAAGATTTTACGTGACAGCACTTTAATCCCTTTCCCTTGAGTCCTCACTTCTTCCTGCCCTGACTTTGAGAAACCAGCAGAGCAGAACGTGAAGGGAGAGTAATAAAACAAACTATACCTTTCCCTTTACAATGCAGGTCCTAAGCCGCGGGTCAGGAGTGAGCTGTGAGGAAGGGAGAAAAAGTGAATTGGATGCAACACTCAAGTTTTGAATTGGACTAGCCTTTTTAAAAAAAAATACCTGAGGGCCGG